AGGGAAAGATGTCAGCAGAGTGTGTTCCTGGCGGCAGGTCCGGCACCAGTTCAGCTGCCACCTGAGTCTGGGGATATGTGGGCTTGGAGCAGCCTGGACCAGTGGAAGGTGTCCCTGGCCAGTGCAGGGGTGGGACTGGATGAGCTTTAAGGTCCTCCCGACCCAGAGCTGTCTGTGATTCCCTGGATCCATGGGCATCATGGGGTTTCCCAGAGCAGTGTTATACAACAGAGGAACAGATTTGAGCTCACCGTTGTGCCCCTTGCGGGGATGTGGTGGCAGGGTCAGGAGCAAACTGCCCAGGGAGGTGTCCCTGAGTCAATGAATGACGAGTTGAGCCATTCCTAGCCAGAGGCCGTGGCTAATGGGGCATCAGCAGGGAGATTTATATCCCAATGTAGTTAAAATGTGGCTTAATAACTCCCAGGGGCTGGGAAAGCACAGCTCCTGCACTCGCTATTTCTTCCCAGCTCTGGAGCACACTCCCTCTTTCAGCTCAGCTGGTGGTATTGGTGAGGGTGTTTGGATTGCAGGAGCCTTTCCTGGGGAGGAAGCGGAAGAGGAATGTTCCCTGCCCATGGCAGGGATGGAATGAGATGAGCTTTAAGGTCTCTCCCAACCCAACCCATTCCATGATTTCAACTGATGCTTTTCCCATGTGACACATGCAAAAAGTAAATGAAATCTCAAAACACTTTGGGAGAGAAGTGGAAGTCACTGAGAAACTCCTGTGCCCGCGGGGAGTGTTTCTGTGCTCTGAGGAGGAGCTGAGGCTGTGCCTGGAGTGGGGATGGAGCCCCAGGTCTGTGCTGAGTCAACCTCCGGCTGCATGTGTGGAAGGAAAACTCTCCCGGGAGTGACTGCTGTGCTGCATGGACGGGAACAGGCTCAGCTCTCATCAGGAACAAAGCCTGGAGTGTGTGAGCTCAAGTACCCATTTCCCCTGGGGTTTAGTGCTGCTCACAGAGCCTTGTCCGAGTCCTTGGGCTGCAGAGGTCAGGGGGCAGTGACTTACAGCACCAAAGCTTCATGGGCTTAGGTCCTCTCACCTCTCTCATCATGAGGTCTCAGCAAACAGCAGGAAAGTGGCTCTTGGGAAGGGCAGGCAGGAGGGAGGAGGAGGAGGAGGAGGAGGTCGCACTCTGTGCCAGTGACCTGAGATGTAGATGTCCTGGGATGGATGAGGAGCTGACTGAGAGCTCATGGGTCAGGATGCTCCATCCCTGGAATGTTCCAGTCCAGGTTGGATGGGGTTTGGAACAACCTGGGCTGGTGGGAAGCCATGGGCAGGGACACCTCCCACCAGCCTAGGTTCCTCCAAGCCCCATCCAGCCTGGCCTGGAACACTCCCAGGGATGGAGCAGCCACAGCTGCTCTGGGCAACCTGTGCCAGTGCCTCACCACCTCACAGGGAGCAATTCCTGCCCAATGTCCCATCTAGCCCTGCCCTCAAGGTGGCTGCTGCTCTCCTGATGGATTTGGACTGTGGATGTGGATAAAGCCACCAGCCAGCCTGGTGGTAGCTGGTGACCAGAGCAAGGGTGTGATGCCAGGGGTATCCACACCATGGACAGGTCTGAGCTGCTGGACCACAGGGATGTCCCAGGGGTCTGGGTCCCTCTGATCCCATGTCACACCCCAGTGAATGGGCAGATTTACTGGGACTTGGGCAAGTGGAGATCAGCAGGTCTGGATAATGTGCCTGGGAGAGCTTGTGGAGGAGCCACCAGGCCTGGGAAGCTTCCTCAGGTGTCTCTTGGCTCAGCCAAACCAGTGAAAAGACAAGAGAAGAGTTTCTGACTGAAGACACAGAAGTTTATGTGTTCAAATTTAATGGAGAAATGGGATTATGTGGGAAATTTGACACAGCTTTATTTGCCTTTATAGCTCCAGATGAAATAATGGCAAAGTGAATCTGAGACTTGATCAATAAAGTGTAAAAGGGCAGGAATGAAATTAAAGGCAATCAGTGCTCGTTTGGTGTTCAGCACTTGGCTCTCTGATGGCTTTCACTGGCTGATAGAGTTACCCCAGGGCTGATTAGAGCTACCCTGAGGCTGATTGAAGCTCCCCCAAGGCAGGAGGCACCCTGAGCATTGTGATTTGGAGCTCATTATGTCAGACAAACAAGTGAATAAATACTAAGCAAAGCAGCTGTTGGTGGAGTTTGGGCACTGCAAACCTCGTCTCGATCCATAGCTCAGTTCCCACACGCTCCTGGGGAGGGATGGGCTAGATGTTGGCGCTGGGTTTATGTGCTTAGTGCTGCTGGTGCAGCAGCAAGTGCAAAATCATTGCTAATGAGGTTTTCAGCTGATGCAAAGGCTCTGATTTAATTGAGGTGAGTGCAGAGTCACCCCCGAGGAGGGGTAAGGGCTGCAAAGCCAAGGGGCCAGAGCCAGTGGGGGAGAGGGCTGGGAGGTCAGGAGGCCGGGGAGGCTCAGAGGTTTGGGGAGGCTCAGGGATTTCAAGAGCTCAGGGGTCTTGGGGAGCTCAGGGGCCTGGGGAGGCTCAGGGGCCTGGGGAGGCTCAGAGGTTTGGGGAGGCGCAGGGGTCTGGGGAGCTCAGGGGTCCAAGAGAAGGAATGTTTTGGTGATGCTTGACCCCAGCATGAGGTCCCAGTGTGTTCCTCAGCTGGGCAGGGGTGATGATGTGCAGCACAGAGCCACATGTCCCTCAGCTTGGTCCCAAATGCTTCATCCAGTCCCCAGGGCACAGTTCTGGGTGTGTCTGGGGAGCGACTGGGGGGTTCCAGGAGAGTTCCTGCTCCAGGTCCACTCGGTGGTGCTGCTCAGACCCCATGGAACACTTCTCCCTCTGCCCCAGTAGTGATGGGGAGGATATGAGGCATGAAAATCAGGAAGAACCAGCACTTGGATCCAACTTTGCTCAGTAACAAGGGCTGAGGGTTGGTTCCCTGTACCTCTGAAGGAAAAGGAAAGCAAAGCACAGGTGCTGTTGGAGCTATGAAGGGTGAAGGTAAGTGATCATAACAGTCCTTTGCCATGAGAAATAAGCCTTTGGTCCCAAGAACTGCTGGAGATCAAGACAAGCTCCTTGAATGTCTGAGAGGTACCTTCAGGTGAGACGTGGGCTCCTAGCTTGGTGCTGAGCATCATGCTCTCCCTGTGGGCTGGGTTAGCAAGGGCTGAGCTGCCTTTGCCTGTCTGAGCATTTCTGGCATTCAATAAGCTTCTGCCTGTCTGGGAGTCAAGAATAGCCAAACCCTTGTTGAGTCATGGACATCTTTGGATCGTGAGCACCATCTGGAGAGTTCCCTCTTCATCAGAGCAACAGAGGAGTTTGCAACACCTGCCTGGACTCCCAGGACTCCTGGACAATGCAGTTTTCGGTTTCTCCAATCAAAACTTAAGTTTTTGAGATGGGATGGGGATAGAGAATGGCCAAATGAGCTGGGGAGAAGAGGGAAAATCCTCTCTCTGCTGAGGTGAGGAGGAGGAGGATGCCCTGGTACCACCCTTGCCTCCACCTGTGCCCTGGGGTAGATTTACAGCCACAGAGCAGGAGCTGGAAGAGGCTGCCTGGAGAGCTCATGAGCTCCATCCTCAGAGGGTTCTGAGCCTCAAGCCCTTGGCTGACCCTGCTCTGTGCAGGAGGTGGGACCAGAGCCATCCCAGGCTCCTGCCCAGCCTGGGCCACTGCACAGGTCTGTGGCTGTGAGTGGGTGTTACAGGGGAGGTTCTGTCACTCGTGTCCAAGACCTGTGACACTACAGTTTTGTCCTTCTCAGTCCCTGGAAGCCTTGCACAAGTGCAGGGAACAGGCTGCAGCTGCAGCTGGCAATGGCTCTGCCCCAGCTCCCATCACCTGTGCCTGGTGAGCATCCTTGGCATGGGGGTCTCACCTCTGAGCCCCCACCCCTTTCAGAGGTCTGTTCCAGCCATCCGTGGCTGCTAGAGCTGCTTCAGTGCAGCCTCTCGATGGCTGGGGGTACCCAGGAGT